AAGTTTTATTATTGTATATGTTTTCCAATGTTTTTCACTCATAGGGAAAAACACAGAGCCTCTTGAGTTTAAAGTGCCAGATTTGTAAATGTATCTAAAAGAAGTGAATAACTTTCGTAAAATAAGCATTTCTCATGTGCACAAAATTTTCATTTTTTTATCACTAATAATTATAATAAAGAATATGTACTGTATATTTAATATTTTGTAGATATTGAATATATATAAACAAAGAGAAATAAATATATATTTATAATATATTTTAAACACATAATTCACTCGGCTTGCCGACTGTTCACGAAATGAAATCAAGATTATCAAAGAGAGAATTTTTTTTGAAATTCCCCGAGTGTCAATAAAATTCCATGAGAATTCCCTGATTTTTCCAGATATAAAAGAAATCCCTGATAATTCTAGGTTTTCCATGTTTTTTCAGGGAGTAGACACCCTGTTAATTGAAGAATAAAAGAGTTATAACAAGAGATTACATTTAGATTATGTTACAAGACTGTGAAAAAAACTTGATATTCGATCAAGATTGAGAGAAATTGGCTGAGAGATTAATAAATGGAAGAAAATTACGCAGAAAAAAATTCCTTTATATTCTATATAATTGTCATCAGATTTTCTGTTATTTAATCTAAATTCAAAGTTGACGTCCAAAAATAAAATTTCGACAAATTAAAAATACCTGGACAAAATCCAATAGAGACAATCGCACGCGTGTAAAAATTGCTTCCCGGAAAAAAATTTGAATAAGAAGCTTAATCAGGTATTCTCAGGATAATTACATATAAATACGAAAAGAGAAAGAGAGAGAGAGAGAGAGAGAGCGAAAGAAAAAAAGATGTTTAAAAAATAAGATACATATTAGATATTCTATATTTTTGTAGCTAAAAAATTCAAAAACTCGCAAAGAGAATGGAATTTATTAAGACACGTAGCTTATTCACATTTTATATGCGACATATTTTCGCGATGCAAAATGGCGAGGATTAAAAAGGCCGCGAAAGAACGACGGGAGGGAAGGAGGAACGGAAAGGAAGGCAGAGTAAAAAGGAAGGGAAAAAGGAAGGAAGGAAGGAAAAGCGAGGCGTGGGAAGGATAGAATTCTTCGGGGGCGCGAGAGCGATACCGCCGAACGGGAAATGCAATTCGTGGCAGCGTCGGTGGCGAGTCTCAGCCTCGGTCGACAGATAGATAGAGTCAAGATTCAATTAGCTCTAGCTGTCAGCTGCATGATACTCGTCGATTCAATACACCTTGTCGCTCGTGTGTGCCTTTGCTTACTGCTACGTGCGCGCGCCACATGTATGTGTTAGCCCGTGTCGCTGAAGTTGCGTGCGTATGCGTGTGTACCCGCCGCGCCCTCGTTTACGCGCCTCTACATTAACACGCGGAAAACCCGACGAATTTTCCCGTCGAACCGAGGACTCGCTGCATCGCGACACTATTCCCTTCGACGATAGGGGTAGAATTTAGCCTTTTTGGAGAGAAGAGAGGGCGACCGATTTTTGTGTGTATAATTTTTTTTTTTTTTTTTTTTTTTTTTTTTTTTTTTTTTTTTTTTGGTAAATAATTATATTTTTCGGAAATATTTGTGGCCTCTGAGTGAATATAGTGCAGGGATATTTTTATTTTTTTAATAAAGGGTAAAAAATTACATTCTGTAGAGAAAAAAAATGTGAAAACGTGAGACAAGATAAAGATTGGAAACATCAAGATTTAAGATCTTCGTTCCTTCGAAAAGACACAAAAATTTTTTGTTATGTCTACGTAATTGGTGTCTATTATATAATTATAAAAGTTGTGTGCGTAAAATTAAAAATATATAATTAAGAATCTAAAACATTTTATTTAATAAGAACACAAAAATATCGGATTCCCTGCGTTTTCTATGAACTCGCGGGAGACTCGCGTCAGCGCGATCGCAATTAACAAGCTTTCAATGCTCGCGCGTACACTTTTCCGAGGCGCAACACGCGTTATTTGTTCCTTTCCTCGGCCCTCCTTCCCGTCTACCCTCGATTGAATTCATTGAAGCGATTCGACTGGATTCCGATGCCGACTCGAACGTCGCGTTTCGAATTCATGAAGGAAAGCGGAGGGGGAGAAGGATAGATAGCAAGAGAGATAGATAGCAAGAGAGATAGATAGATAGATAGATAGAGAGAGAGAGAGAGAGAGAGAGA